AGTGATTCCTTTATCTCACAGGTAATGAAACAGATTTAAAAGAAGGGGAACTGCCCAAGGTCTATAAAAAACTTAAGAGTTCTTCAGTAATGGAGCTTATATTTTAAAAGTCTGTATTTCAAAATATTTTAATTCAGTTAATCTCATTTTTAATGAATGTTTAACATGTCTCTAAGAAACCCACTCTATCACGGAATGACAGTCTATAGGAATGTCCCAGCCTAATAGACAATTGATTGTATAGGAAGAAAGGATTTCAGGCTCCATTTTCATTTTCACCCGTGCCTCTTGGTTCAAAGACACAGAATGGGTTGTCTCCTCCCATTTAGTCTCCATTAAAAGAATCTGAGCTGTCAAGGATCTGTCACTGATACCTAGTAACACGTAAAATTCAGAAGGATGGGAAGGAGGAGAAGGGAGAAAAATAAGAAGTGTATGAGATGCTGTTTACACAAATTTTAACTCATTTAAAGCTCATTCAAATTCATATTACCTCCATTCCATATGCAAAGAAATTGGGGCCTTTGAAAGCTTGTTGTACAAAGAATTCTAAATGAACACCGGACCACCAAGCATATGGGTGTTTATCTTTTTTTGTTTTTTTAAAAAAAGTAAATATCAAATTGTAAGATTTGAAAACACTGTGAACAGCAAATAGTTGAACATTTCAAACAAAACCATTATACTCTTCCTAAATTGAAACTGTACAAAATGTGTTCAAGATTCATCTATAAGCCAAAAGCTCCAGAATACACCAAGGCATTGAGTTCGTTAAGTTTTCAGCTTTCTGGGCCCCTCATAGCATCCTATGGATCCCTCTGAGGTTTCCTGATGGGTAGAACACAGTGCTGAATATCCACTGCTGTTAAAGTTAAAGGTCTAACTTAACAGAAAGGTGTGGCTCAGTAGAGAGGAGCATGAGATCCAGAAACCAACAGCCAAGAAGTTATCACTCCTGACTGTCCTCTCATGGGAACATCATATAGAAAGCATGGGCCAAGGAATCTCAGTACAGAATTATCCTTGGCAACCCTGCCTGTCCCTGACTGCTTACTAACGCCTCGGCCTGTTTCCCTGTCTAGAAGAGTGAATAGTAATGGTCCTACTTCATGAGCTTGTTGGCAAGATTAAATGAGTTAACATTTATAAAGTTCTTCAAACAGTACCAGGTACACTGAAGACGTGATGCTTTGTTAAACGTTTATAAAGAAGAGACAGACACATCAGTGGTCCAGCCATCGATAAGCCTTGCATGAAGAGCAGAAATTAATACTTAGGGTCAAAAGCCTTTGAAAAAATGGTGGTCATAGCTAACTTTGAGGGCTAACCCGCCTCCCCCACATCATCCTCAGGGAAGACACTGAGCCAGCCAAGCTGTGCTGGTACTCATCCTTCGTCTAGTTCCTACGTGCTAGCACCCTTTCATCTACTTTTTGCTCCTCCCAGTGGCTATATGAGGACAGCAGAGAAGGTGTCTTCTCTATTGCACGTAAAGAAACCGAGACTCTGGGAAATTTTATGATTTGTCCTAGACCAGGGGGAGCAGATAAAAAGACTAAAAATGTGTCTCTGACTCACTGCCCACTGCTTGTCTACATTATCATCCCACTGGCCTTCAGGTTCTGAATTTGAATACCAGCTTAGTAGGCAGCCAACAAGAAAAAAAGCGTTAGTCACCTTTCCTTTGGAAAGCTTGAATGGGCTCTGCTGAATGCCAAGAAGGTGTCTCACTTGAGCTTGTCTCTGAATCTGCTGTAGAAGTTCCAAGAGTGGACATTTTGCTGACTTTGGCCTACCTTTGAGTCATAAAGCAGCTAGAAGGGACTGTGGAGAAATATCTGACTCATGTCTTCCCTTCCTCCCTGCCACCCGGAGGCAAGTAAATGCCTCTACCCTGTGGGTCTGTGTTCCTGGTGTCTACTGAGAAGCCTTCTTCCCTGTTGAAAGCTTAGACAAAGTGCACGGATGACCTCAGGCATCAGCTTGCGGAATACTTGGATGGAAGACACCAGGCATACTCTGGAGGCTGGATTGGACAGGGGCGTGAGATAACAGAGGTTTCTCAATGTAAAATTCCCCGCCCTTGGGTCTGTGTTGGGGGGCTCTAAATTGTATAGATGAGTCTGGAGCAGATTTGATGGAAGCGATAGGAGTCTGAAACAGACAGTGATTCCTGCATCTGTGTGTATCAGAGAGGAGTTCAGCTTCGGCATCCCAGGACTAGCCTTAGCCGTGGTGCCTGCAGTGGACTCTTTCAGTTAAAGAGCATCTTCCCGGCCCCCTAATCTGCTGTCTTTGGCATAGCTTGTGTTTTGGTTACTTTTCTTGTTGGTAACAAAATGCCTGAGAAAAGCATCTTAAGGAAGGAAGGTTTTGCTGGGCCCACAGTCTATCATGGCAGGGAGATCATGGAACAGGAGATGGAGACAGCTGGTCACTTTGCACCTATAGTCAGGAAGCAGAGGCTTTTGGTTTTCTTTCCTTTCTGTGATTAAGGCCATGGCCAAAGGCAACTTGGCCCAAGGCAGTTTGGTCTACGTGTCCCAAGTCTCAGTCTGCTGAGGGAGGCCAAGGCAGGAACTCAAAAGTAGGAACTCGGAGGGAGGAACCAGAGCAGAAACCGTGGAAGGATGCTGCTTGCTGGCTTGCTCCTCATTGCTTGCTCAGCCTGCTTTCTTTTACAACCCAGGAGCATCTGCCCAGGGATGGTACCACCCACAGTAAATTAAGCCTCCCCCATCAATCATTAGTCAAGAAAATGCCCCCACAGGCTTACTTGTAGGCTGATTTGTTGGGGACATTTTCTCAGTTGAGATTCCCTCTTTTCAGATGTCTCTAGCTTGTGTCAAGTAGATTAAAAAATAAAAAAAACTAACCAACAAACAGGAAGTGATGGGGGAAGTACTTCTGTGTATGTTTATCTTATTAATTGTTAAATAAAATACTGTTTGGCCAATGAAACGGCAGGTTAGGCAGGACTAGGAGTCAAAGAGGATTCTGGGAAATGTAGTAGAGAAGTGCTGATCCAGACAGGAAGTGACATAGCAAGGAGACTCATATTTAAGGGAAGGAGATACAGGAAGTTCCCTCTTTTCCCCTTGCTCCTCCAGCAGCACAATGTGATGCACCAGCAAGGAGGGACACCAATAAGGCGTCCGATAAGATAAGTCTTATAAAATATATAGATTTATGATAGTTAAGACTGAGTTAGCAGATGAGAAGTCCTAGTCATTGGCCAAGCAGCATTGAACCTAATACAAGTTTCTGTGTATTCATTTGGGCCTAACTCGGGTGGGCAGCTGGCATAAAGCTCACACGTGGCGGTTGGGCTCAGGCAGCTTTTGGTGGAAAGATTTATCGTAACAAGGAAGTGCTGAGTGTGGCTGATCAGCTCGCCCTATCCTTCTCTTCAGTCCAGGGCCCCAGCCCATGGACAGCAGCACCCACACTTAGGATAAGTCTTCCCATGTCAGTTAACCCAGTATAAACTCCCTCACAGAATGCCCAGGGGTTTATTTCCATAGCAATTCTAAATCCTGACGAGTTGACAGTTAAAATTAACCATTATGGTTTGAGATGCTAAGAAGTGGGTATGAGGGCAGGTGAATACCTTCAAAATGGAGTTAAGTCTCGTTCTCCCACACTCCACCCCACTCCTGAGCTTTCACAGAAACCCCAAACTTCTTCATGAAAAAGGACAAGAAGAGGGGTTGCCTTTTGTGGGAAGATGAATGAATTCACAGAAGCCTCCAGGTCGATACGGGAGGAAGAGAGAGATGCCTTGTAGGAAGGAGTGGCAGGCCTCTCCGCGTGCTGTGTACCTTTGATGTGCCCTACTGTAACTGAAGATGTGCCCGGAAGGAAGTTAGTTTACACCTCTTTACTGAAGAAAATAGCTGGGATTTCAAAGATAAACAGCCACCCACTCCCTGTCTATCAGGAGAGAAGCTGTTTAAGATGAATGGAGACCTCTTTCCTCTCTGCTCCCCGCCCACTCCATCACTCTCTGATGCTTCCTGCTCCATCAGGAGGACAGCCAGCCAGCTCCTCCCCATCCCTGCCACTCACCTTTGGAGAGAGGCAGATGAGACTTGGGATAATCCTTTCAGAAATGCTGCATGGTCCTGTTCCCACCTTACCTAGAAGCAGTTTAAGGGTTCCTGTGGCTCTAGGTTTAAATCACTTTCATTCCTTACTAATTTATTGCCATCTGTTGATTTCATTTTAGTGACACCCACATCAAGATCATTCATAAGGAGAATTAGACCACTCCTAGACCCCTCCCTTACACACAGCTCGCTCCCATTCAAACAGCTGAGACCAGATCTGTTAAAATTCTCTCAATCTCTCTCTCCCTCCCTTCCACACCCTCTCTCTCTTTGATGGGCTGTCAGGCAATCTTGAGTTTGGGGGTATGTGCCATCTCTCTCTTTTATCCCTTGAGAAACCTCGTTTCTGGAACCTTCTGTTTGAGTGGAGGATTTCTTCTGTGCCATTTGTCAGCTGTTTGGTCTGCCTCGACATTACCTCTTAATGAAACTGCACCCTTTGCATTTTTATCAAAGGGCAGGGCAGGGGCAGACTGTGGCCCATCTGTGTTCTTCGTCTCCTCAGAATGCTGCTCCCCTCCATCATTCCCAGCCACAAACAATGAAAGGTTTGGATAGGGACTGCAGAGGTGCTCCGTGAATTGTACTGAGCACAGGGTGAACACACACACACACACACACACACACACACACACACACACACTTATTTGCCTAAGACTTCTCAGCTTTTAAGAGCTGTGGCTTCCAATGATCTGGCTCCAAAGTCTACACTTGGAGTTCCTGGGCTCTGTACCCACATACACTATTGTGCCATAAACCAAACCACAACTATTCCAGGTCTCCTGAACTGAGAAAACATGCACTGCTATCCAGGTTGGATTCTGGAGCCTGGTGTGGGCCACAAACATGATCATTTTCAGAACTAATCCCTTTCTTCTCCCATCTTCGCAGGATTGTCATACTCAGTAGATCGTAAGGCCGACCCGCTGCTTCCAGCCAGGTGCCATATCACTCCGATGGACCTGAGTTGTTCGGAGTATTGGGACTTTGTTGGAACCCAGCCCCCATGAGCTATGTTGTTTTCCAGCATAACCACAGGTATCTCCTGTTTTCCTGACCTCACCCCACTAGGATCAATATCCTGTTGTGAACCCTCTGACCTGGGGTTTTAGTAAGTTTGTATATAAGGCTGCTCCACAATAAAGAAGAGAGACATTCTCTCAGAAAAGGACCAGGAGTCTTGTGGTTCATCCCAATCTCCAGGCTTTCGCCCAATACTCGGACTTAGTGGCCAAGAGCAGCCACAGAACTTCCCTTAAGTGAAGTCTAGTCCTTGCCTATTTATGTTTCCATTCATGGCACAGTGCCCTGTAGTGACCTACATAGATATACACATGCACAGAGTAACTTAGCTCTTCCTTGTGACATGCCTCAGATCAGAGCAGAGCTGGTCATCCTCACAGCCAGTCTGACCTTTTAAGGAGAAGGAAACTCAGGACCTGTCACTGTTGACCTGTTCTGCTGGGACATGCAGAGAGCAGTGCAACTTTTCACAACCAACCAGCCCCTGCTCACCTGCCTCCTCCCCTTCTCCCCACTCTCCCCAGAGCAGTAGCCCTCCTCCAGAGCTGGACGGCCCTGGCATGAATACCTGTGCCCATCAAGTGTGCACAGAGGACAATGCAAGTTGTCCCAAATTGTGCATCCAGGTAACAGCCAGAACAGTCAGAGGTAGCTGTCCAGTGTCTGTCAGTCACACTTCACCTTGATGTACACCACCATAACATCTCCACACTAGAACTTTTCTGCTGGATAAAGTGGGAATAAAGATCCTACATTTACAAACCAGAAAGACGCATGTTAGGTACCTGTTACGAGCCCAGCTCCCAACATAAAGTCAGTAATTAAGAGTGGTATTGATAAAGTCTCCCTTAGATGAAGGCTGTCCCCCAGTATGAAAGCACACAGGGAAAGATGTTCTGTCTTCTTGCTGGTTGGATGACCTGTGTGACTGGAACATGGAAGGAGGTGTGTAAAACTCCTATGACATCATGTCCCCAGACTACCAGAGTGCTCAGCGTCACCATTTGTCCCATTGATTGTTTGGCTGCCTGTGACACAATTTTGTGTTGACTGTGTCTGCTGTGAGAGATCATCAGATCTGTGTCCCTTGTAGACAGCTGTTTTATTACCCTTCTGTAGGCCATCCTGGTGGGAGCAGGCAGGGGCCTCCCTTGTTCACGTTTACCTCCTCACCAGCTGTTTGTGTCAGGGGAGCATGCCTGACGATTGAAAGGGCACACATTTTGTAGACTTTTAATGTTCCTCTAATTCATTTTGCTTACAGAGGGTTTGCTTTCTGAAAAGCAGATTATAGTCACAGGTAGCCTCTTAGTTGCCTGTGAGCTGCGAACAAACTTCTTGGTTCCTCTAAGCCATGGTCTCTTAATTTGAAAAAAAAAGAAAATGGATGCATGGTGGTAATACCTCCCTCACAAGGCTGTTTTAAACATGAACATAACTATAACAAGCCATTGTGTAGACCTTTCCTCTCCGTAGTACAGACAAGCAGAAGCCCAGTGGTTAGGGTAGGTACCACCCAGGTCCATGCAGCTCTTTCATTGTGTTTTATCATTATTTCCTGAGAGACCCTCCACATACTTTAGTTAGTCATTGTCCCAGCTCTTGCACTTAAAGATACTGATGCCTGCCTTGACAACTTAACATCAGCTAGGGGAACAAAGACAGAGGGTTCCTGAAGATCAGTCCCATCACTCCTCCCGTGTGTAGATGGTGGCTCCTCTGTCTGTCTTCCGGCTTAGTTAAGAAGACAAGTTTCAGATTTATTAGTGGCCCTAACTGCTGTTTCCCTTGGAAGCCCTGAGCTTTTTCAGTGGCTGTCTGGCTCCTGAGATTTATAATCACCATTTCTAGCCACTAATGATGTCTGCAGTTTGATTTGCATGTCCACCTTCCCTGTTCAATCTACATCCATCCGAGTGGCTGTCATGCCAGAGGTGGCCCTTTCCCAGCAAGTAAGCAGCTTTCTTTGTCCTGCAGCGTGGTGAGCCATAGGTTGACAGTGGATAGGGCTGTGGGAAAGACTCAACATTCAACTTGCACACTGGAGGACTTGCCGGGGGAGAGAGTGGCTCTTGTGCTCCTGGAGCGTCCACACTGCCACTAGAAAGGTTCTCTCATGACTTAGAAGAGTCCAGCCCCACCAGAATGTGTCGGGAGTATGCATGCTCTAAACTCTTTCCTATTTACTTAAAGCAGTCTTCCAAAGACAACGGCAGAAGCCTGTTTCTACCTCCCTCCTCATCCTGCATGACCTTCTGCATATCCCACCCCCATGGGGCCCCTGGCAATGGTAAAGATTCATATCTAAAAATGACCATCCTCCCTACTCCATGCCCAGAACAGAGCAGCCCAACGTTTCATGAAGATGTAACCCAGAGGGAAGATCCTCATAAACCTCTTCAGAGAGAACACACTTTGCTACTTCTGAGGAGGCACAGACTTGGCTGGTGGTGTCCACAGAAAGAGTACCCTCTTGGATTCACCAGTCTGGTTAAGGCCAGCAGGCAGCCTCCTCTGCCAGCTGCACACCAGATACACGCAGACAAAAGCAATTTGCAAACCCAACTGTCTTAGTTAGGGTTTCCATTGCTACAGTGAAGCAAGTTTGGGAGGGAAGGGTTTATTTGACATAGAAGGAAACCAGGACAGGAACTCAACAAGGATAGGAACCTGGAGGCAGGAACTGATGCAGAGTCCATGGAGGAGGGCTTCTTACTGACTTGATCCTGGGAGCTTTGCTCAGCCTGCTCTCTTATAGCATCCAGGACCATCAGTCCAGGGATGGCACTATCTGTCATGGGCCAGGCTCTACCCCATCAATCACTAATAAAGAAAATTCTTTACAGCTGAGTCTTTTTTTTTTCTTTTGGGTTTTTGAGACAGGGTTTCTCTGTGTAGCTTTGGAGCCTATCCTGGCACTCGCTCTGGAGACCAGGCTGGCCTCAAACTCACAGAGATCCGCCTGCCTCTGCCTCCTGAGTGCTGGGATTAAAGGTGTGGGCCACCAATGCCCAGCTACAGCTGAGTCTTATGAAGGCATCTTATCAATTGACTTTCCCTCCTTTCAGATGACCCTAGCTTGCATCAAGTTGACAGAAAACTAGCCAGCACACTAACCTAGGCAAAAGTCAAATGTTCAAATGCTGTTGCCTCCACCAGGAAACATTATTTGACATAGGGATTTCGCCTATCTTACCTTCTGGCAAAATCCTCTCATTATGGTCAGTTTGTGGGATTGTGGAATATAAGTACCAAATTGTAGAGACATTTGTTTTTCAACTCAGCATTCTGAAAGTCCAGGGTGGTTCGTAGTACAGGGTCTTTGTGTCTGTTGCATAAATAGCGAATCCTAGTGTTGAACTAGGAGTGTAACTCAGTGATGGGACATGTGCTAAGCATGTGCAGGGTCCTGGGTTCTCGTTCTCTGTTCTCTCTCTCTCTCTCTCTATCTATCTATCTATCTATCTATCTATCTCTATCTCTATCTCTCTCTCTCTCTACACACACACACACACACACACACACACACACACACACACACACACGCACGCACGCCTGACTGCATCTGAATCTCTAGTGGTTTGGTTTGAGCTGTATTAAAGAATTCTGCTACTCTCATGAACAGCATCAAAAAAGATTGTAAATACATGGATCTCAGATTTGTTTTTCCTACAAAGTTTCTGCAATGTGGAGCTTATCACAGCCGTTTCTTATATTGCTCTGTCTATTCCTGAACAGTCAGCCTAGGCTTCTCCTTCAAATATAGCTATTGTATCAGATGTGCCTCCATTTTCTTCTCTTCAGAGTGAGAATGTTGGTGAGAGAGGAAAATTCCCAGTGTCCCCTGGTGCTCTGTGGTTCCGAAGCTCTTATAAGACAGAGGGTCTGGATTTTCTTCACATAGTTTTCAGAGAACTATAAATGTTTTGTCAGGGAAGGAGATGACTTGGGGAGCATGACAGCTGTCTCACATTATTTCAGGGCCTGTCATGTAGAAGATGAAAAGGATTAGATTTTTTGAAAGGCCCCAAGGACTACATACAAGACCAATTATTAATTCATTCAACAAATATTTTTTTGAGTGGATGCCATATGTCATGCACTATTCTGGGCAATAGCAAGGCAGTTACGAGGAAAACCACCAAAAAAAAAAATCCTTGCCTTTTAGGAATTTACATTTTATTGAAAAGAGATTACCCAAAAATAAATGAACCCAGTGGAAAGGAGCTTCACAGATCCTCAATGTGAGCTTTCTGTGAGCTCATTAGTCAATGTTCTGTCACTGTAGCCTGAGAAAAATCTACTTTTATTAATCAAATTTTATTTTGGCTCATGGTTTCTCAGGCTTGGCCCACTATCAGTTGGTTTCATCGCTCTGGGCCTGAGGCAATGTGGAATATCATGGTGGTGAAAGCTTTAGCTGGAAGAGGCTGCTCACCTCATGGCAGCCAGGAAGCAGTAAAATGAAAAAGAAAATGAATCTGGGGGAAAATACACCCCTCAAAGGCATGATGCCAGTGGCCTGCTTCCTCAAGCTAGTCCCTATAAAATAATAGCCAATCCAGTTTGGGACTCTGGTCCCAATAGATTAATACCATGATGAAGTCAGTGCTTTCATGATCCAATCTCCTTTCAAAGTCTTACCTCTGAACATTGCTGCATCAAAAACCAAGCCCTCGATTACCTGTTTGGGGGAATATTCTATATCCAAACTATACCATCTGCTCTTGGCCTCCAAAGACTCTTGACATCTCATAATGCAAAATTCACTGATCCTATATCCAAGGGTCCCTAAAAGTGTAACAGTCCCAGCACTGCTCAAAAGTCAGAGGCTTCTGAGAGATTCATGGCGACTATTACCTTTGAGCCTGTAGCTTTTCTATTGCCGTGCTAAGACACCATGACCAACACAACTTAAGGAAGAAATGGTTTCTTGGGTTTATAGTTTCAAAAAAACTGTAATGGGAGCATGGCAGCAGACAGGCAGGCATGGTGCTAGAGCAGTAGCTGAGGGCAACCACAAGGCAGAGAGAGAACTGACTAGAAATGGCATGATCTTTTGAAACCTCCAAGCTTGCAGCTAGTGA